TACCAACTAAATATCATTATGTTTGTATATCTTCTGACGATGCTAAGGTATTATTCACTTTTATAAATTAATTAAATTCCGAGAAAATACACATTGTTAACAATGATATAACAACTTATATAGAGCTGGTGGCTTCACTGCTTCACATTAAGTCATTAAAATTGGAAAAAATTCTGGAATCTAAAGAAATATTAATTGAAATCAATGAAATATTTTAATGTCRTTGGAGTGCAAATGTTCACCTTAAACTATTGACTATTTTTACAGACATATCTGATCTGAAAAATAATTTGGGTAATAGTAAAATTAATTAAGAATAATATTTTCTTCTATAAATATACCACCATTCTTTTAAAATTTAAAACTGAATTTTCTTACAGGCATTAGTTCTATTGAAGATCCAAACAAATCAACATTTGYCGACATTAAATTATGCGTCAAATCAAAATTCAAATTTTCAATGAAAGTTTCTTCCTCTCATTATTTATTATTTTCAACTGGTAACACTTATATACAATTATTTTGCTTTTAGAATTAAAATTTGGACATTTTGATGTTRTTTTTAGATAATTTAATGTATATTAAACAAAATGGTAAGATGCGTCATCTTGAAAGCAAAAGTTTTAAAGTTGCTGTCGATCAGTATAACATATTTTCTATAAAAGGTTTTAAAATGTTGAAAACAAATTTTAGTAAGGAAGTGCAAGCTGAGAGACAAAATTCTGAAGGGTTAATAACTGAAGCAAACAATATTTGGTGATTAAAAAATATAAAAATAAATATATTAATATTTATTTACAACATTAATATTGTTATTTTATAAAAAATTGTATTTAGGGATGTGACTATTGAAAACTTAAAAATGGTATTTCCTTATGGTTTCGAGTTTTACAGTATTTTTCAAGGTGAATTCATTAGTATTGTTAAATGGTTAAAATTAATCCACGAAAAACCACTTCCTAGTGATTTAGTTCTAAAAGTAAATTAACAATAGATAATTGAATTTATTTGAATTTGATATAAATTAAATATAATAAATTACAGGTTCAAGAATTCATTTTTGAATTGAGTGATGATGATTTTGAAGTAAAGCTCAGAGATAACTATGAACTACTTGAAGATGAATACAAAGAAAGTTTAAAACGTCAGAAAATGCTTGAAACTAAAGTGTCTGAAGTGGTCAAAGATCGTTTACCACCAGCTATTAATGTAATACCTATGTTTGTAATTATTATTATTATTTATGCGAGTAATTTGAAATATAAAAATTGAATTTAGGGCAAGTAGTTTACGAGATATATAGGTATTTAATGTTTAGATGAGCGGAGTAGAGTGGTACGGGGTTACCCGCCACATATTTGTCCACTACTCTGCTCATCCAAACTTTAAATATTTATAACTCATAAACTACTTGCCCTAAATTCAATTTTTATGTATCGAAATACTTACAAAAATATTCTGATTTGGAATATAAAATTAAAACTACATGTTGTCATTCAAAAAAGTAAAAAACTTAAAAAATTATAGGGATGAAAAAATGTTAAAAATATAATTTTTTAATAAAAACATGGTTTTATAAACGACTTGAAGCTATGTAAAATTATATTTTCAAAAACATTTACACTTTTGGAAATAATGAGTGTTTTACGCCCCATGAATCATCCTGTATATGTATATAATATGCTATTTTTATAACCTGCATGTCAGGAATTAAGACAATTTTTAACCGCAAATTATTTAATTTAACAAACAACTTCATAATTCAAAATCACTTTATGTAGCAATTGTTATTATAAGCATAGTTAGTAGTAAATCTTAAAATCAAAAATTGTTAAAATTAAAAAAGCTCTGTTGTTGTTTTAACCACAAATATTATTATACTATTTAACAATTTATCAAGAGTAAAATTAAAATTTCTATGATTATATTAACAACAATTGCTTGTCGGTTATCAAAATATTGGATGTTAAAATGACTAAACATGGAATTGTTAAGTTATTAATGTACCTATAACCTATATAATTTTAAAGTTACATAACAAAAACTTAATTTAATCGTTCATATACTTAGAATACATTTTTTTCTTCATTTCAAATATAGAATATGGTTAACAATGAATATACGTAGATAATAGGTATGTTCTAACAATACGTAGTGTTAGTCTCAAAATTCAATACAACAATCCAATGTTGTTATTTAATATACAAATCACAGTTAATTTCACATTTATTTACTTAAAAATTGATTGAAACTGTATGTGTGATACGATTTTCAAACATCATGGCCCATTTATAGGAATATTTTTAAAGAGCTTCATGTTGTATTTTTTGAATTTCTTACATAAGTATCGATCACCTTATGGTTATGATAATGAATATCACTTGCTAATAATTACATCCTAAAACCTTTATTTGTTGCAAGGTTAAAATTTAACGCAATACCTATTTAATGTAGTAGGTATGATATTATTCAATTCGGGGACACTTGCAAATAATCCAAATGAATTATTATAATTATTTACTTAAAGTCAATCGCAAGTCATAAGTTATATTCAGAATAAGAAAATTAGTCTATGTGCATCGAAAACTTAAGCTTTTAAAATGAATTTTTTGATTGTAAACACAATTTATAATACCTCAAAAAATGTTCATTAACTTATTACATTTCTGAAAGAATTCCATTTAATTATACTGCATAGATTGTTAGGTATATGACATAATTATATACAATTAATAAAATATGAACCATTTATTCTTTTTATTCTTGTCGATATTGTGATGAAATAAATAATAATGATTTTTATTTAACATTATTTCAATAAAACATGGGTACATCTAATAATTACGAGCTTCAGAAAACATTCGTTATACGAGAATATTTAATTGTTTTTTTTTTCGTCGCTTGTTATAATTTGTTAATTATTCAGAAAAACTAGTTATTTTTTGTTCTTCCGTCTGACTATAAATTAAAGGCAAAAATTGAAAGAAATAACCTGCAGCAGTCGGGCTTTCAGTTACAGACACGATTAATTCTGCAGAGGGATGGTCCGCCATTTTCCCGTGAAACGCTATRGCTCCGCCCAAATGGGGTGAGCTCTAAACGCAAAGGGACGAGCGTAGATTTTTAAATAGATCTCCTTTGCCGACTGACGTTCAGTTAGTCGTTGGACCTAGCTCGCCAAAACTGGGCAGATTTGATCTAGAAAATTAACAATCTCAATTGAAATTTATCACTTGCAAAATATTTTATTTAATGTTTTCCCAAATTGCAATTTATGAGACCTTCCAAACAACTGTAATACCGTTGTTATTATGAATCATTCGATGGCATCGACGCCGGATATGCACAACATTTACGATTTTCATCATCATCACCACCAACAGCAACAGCACCAGCAACAATCACCCGATTTGCTCAGAAGTGGAGGTCACGTTGTGACCACTAAAGCTGATTCTTCATCCTCGTCGCCGTCACTCTGTTATAAGTAAGCATATAAACAAATATGGTTACAGATTTCATTGTAACTTATCACATTATATATTATAACTAATTGTGGTCAATTTAAAGACGTTGAATTATTTAGACGATTTTCACAATTATTATGGTTTATACGTTTGTATAAAAAAATATGTTAACATGCACTGTTTATTCTAACTTGTAATACAAAATAATTTAATTGAATATACATAGATACCTATTAATTAGCACAATTGAGATTAGCTCATTAAAATTATATCAACTTATATAACTAGTAATATTAATCACTTTGGAAAACATGTATACAAGGTAATGATGTTCCATAGTTTTGGAATACTATAAACAAAATTGATACATCGCATTAAATAAATATAGTTTTTATTATTAATATAATAAATTA